CATCTTTTCGTAAAAAGATAAAAAATACATTTTTTTAGGACACCCCAAACCAACCCTTAATCTTTGGAGATTTTTACCATGCACGCTTTTAAAAAGAGTAAATTATAATTACTCTATTTGGATTTGAATTTTCAAGAGTAATTTTTTTTATCTTGTGAATTTTTTTTATATTTTTTTTTATTAAATATTCTACCTTTTAGTTGTATTTAGATTAAGTGTATTTACAAAAATAATATAATTACTTAAAATATTCAAAAAATTACAAAAAATAAAAAACTGAAAAAATTATTGTTAAAAATTGTTAACCAAATAGAGTCATTAATTTTTTCTAAATTTAAGAGTTTATATAGTAAACTTTAGAATTTTAACATAATTATATTAACTTCCATTTTATTAATATTAAAATACTAGAACTAATGTAGATGGCATAAATACACAAATATAAATAAAGATAAAATATACATTTAAGTATAGAAAAGATAATATTTTTTGATCTATATGACTAATGAATTATTGATAAAAATCGGGTTAAGTGTTATATGAATTAAAACGTTAAAACAATCAAATGTAATTATGTTAAAATTATAATTATGTTAATTTAATTTAATATATCATATATAAGTTTTAATATTTGGTGATTTTGATATCACTTTGTGTTATAACCAAATCACAACAAATCATAACCAAACAGACATAGCCTCTGTTTGGCAAGTGGGTTTGCAGATTTTTTTGGCTATTTTAGCCACAAAAAACAAAATAGGCTATTTTAACCATAACAAACAAAACATCACATTCAACCCATAATCATTACATTCTTCTCTCACCAAAAAACTCAAAAAAGTCAAAAAGCCAAAAAGTCCTTCCCAAACCAAGCTTTTAAGCTCAGGCTAAAATAGTCAAAAAAGTCAAAAAATCAAAAAGCTAACCCACTTCCCAAACGGAGGCATAATAGATCATAACTAAACAATGCTTAATGCTTAACTAAAAATTCTTTAATTATAGTCAAAATAACGGTCTCATTACATTATTATAATCAATAGTAAATTAAATTATAATCAAGTCAAAACTAATATCACAACAAATTATAATAAAATATTATTAAAAAAATAGCATTTAAGGGGTCATGTTGTGTGTCTACAATGTAGACCTTTATTATATATTTTTGTTTTACGTGTTTTGTATTTTTGTAATAAATGTTATCTGTTTTTATGATAAAAGTTAAACATTTGGGCTCAAAAATGAAGTTACACATTTTATAGTTATATTACACATTTTTGTAGTGATGTTGCACATTTTTTTATTAATATAAAAATGTATAACTTTATTTCTAAATTACAAATTATCGTAACTTTATGAAAAAAAATTATGACATTATCACAAAAATATGCAATATGCATAACAAAAATGCATAATAAAATGTTTATTTAAAGGGTGTGTACCATAATTTTTTTTGACAATTAAGATATGATATATTTATTAATCTCAGGGGTGGTTTAGCGGTACAACTTGGAATGTGGTAATAAAATTAGCACATTGGGGCCCCAGGTCACTTGTTTTATTTTTAAATGAAATCCTCCGTAATTGAACGATGAAATTGATCTCTTAAAATTAATTTATATGTACATAAATTGATCCGATTATCTAATTATCAAAATATATATAATATCTAGTTTTTAAAGTGTGTATTATAGAAATTTTCAATTCCCGACTTTCTTTCTCTTGGTGTGAATTGTGACTCAACAAAGTCTAAGTCCAAAAATTTTCAAGTAAAAAGACCCAAAAATATCATAATTTATTCTATAATAAATAGTGATAGTAAAAAAAAATTTCAAATCAAAATAAAAAAGAATAACTCTTCTCTCTCTCTCTCTCTCTGGGTTCAAAACCGGGTAACGTGAAACCAATTGGAAGTTGAACTTTTTGCGAATCCGTTGTTTGTGCCCTTTCCATCACTTGCCCTCCTTGTTCGCTATCTAAAACCCAAATTCAATTTTCTCGTCTTTTCTCAGCAGCACCTGGTTTTGTTCCTAGAGAGAGAGAGAGAGAGAGAGAATCCTGAGAGTTATTTTCCTTCCCTGTATTTCACTATTTCTTTGCCATAATTAGCATATCGATTTCTCTTTTGATTTTGAATTTCTTATTATTTCTGGAATTAGCACATAGATTCCTCCTAGAGTGTGCAACTCATCAATGAACAGAATAATGGCCCTTTTGCTTTGCTTAACTTCATCAACCACATTCAGTAACCTTTTCTTCAATATTGGGATAGTTAGGTTGTTCAGTTGGTGGCTTATATGGGTGGTACACCTTGTAAGAGATATCATTATAAATGAAACTATCATCATTAACAATTAGGGTCTATAAAGGATCACTTCACATTAAAAAAATATGCGATTATGTGCAATAATATTTTCGTGTTAAAGGTTCTGTCTCGGAGAAACATTACTACGGAGCCCATACTCAAAGTTCTCATTTTGGTACTATATGTAGCCTCGATTGGTTAGTCTTCAATTTCATTGTTCTTTATTATTTGTGCTGTTTAGCCGAATCTGGAATGAGACTTGGTTGGCAAACCTTTTCTACAAACCTTGCAACTATGAGTTGTTTGTGAACCAATCCCTCAACATGGAACATTTTTCTCTACTCAACCCATAGAACATTTTTCTCTCTAACTTATCTCTTTTCTCTACTCAGCATATAAGTAATTGATGACAATGAAAATGAAAACCCACTAAAAGAAGAGAGAACAGAGCAAAATTCAATGCACAAACTTGAGAGTCCATAGATCAACAACACATATGTCAATGGAAGAGCAGCTCAACGTTGATTGCATGGCTTACATGTGAGTGTCAATCGATTCTTGTTATCGCTGATGGAACAAGATCACACACAGACAAATCAAGGAGTAAAAAAAAAGTCAGCCATGGAAGCTAAAGAAATTTAGGAGACTTTT